TCAAATAACAATTAAAACACATAAATCAAATAACATGTAGCAATTAATGCAGGAATTCAAAAATTAATATTTTGACAAAGAATAAGAGAGAAACAATCATTATAATAATTAATTTATGATTAAAAATAATTTATGATTTTCAAGTAAACATGCAAACAATTAATTTGACGACGTATAGACATTCGTCACCTCACCTATACGTCGTTCACATGCAATTCACATAACAAATAATTTTAGGGTTCTATTCCCTCAAGTCAAGGTTAACTACGACACTTACCTCGCTTTGCAAATTTCAATCAATTATTCAACCATAGCTTTTCCTTTTAAATTTGTCTCCGAAAGCTTCAAATCCAATTCAAAGTCATGAAAATCCCCCTTGAAATCGCCCAAATCTGAGACTTAAAACTTAAAAATGAGTAAAAATGGCTAAGACCCGATTTTATGTATTCTGCCCAGTATTTTCGTATTTGCGGGCTATATTTTCGCACCTGCGGTCTCGCATTTGCGAGACAAAGCTCGCATTTGCGAAGTGGGCCTCCCAGGCGAGGTTCCGCATCCGCGGACAAAAATGTCACACCTGCGACGTCCGCTTCTGCGCAAAAGGGCCGCACCTGCGAAGACCGCATCTGCGTTGGAAGTCTCGCTTCTGCGAGCTCGCACCTGCGGTCAAAATTCCGCAGGTGCGATTACACAAGAACTCAAAATTTTAGATTTTGCTTAAGTCCAATTCTTGTTCCGATTTCGATCCGTTTCATTCTCGGGGTACTCGGGACCACGCTCGAATATACCAACAAGCCCCGTAACATAATACGAACTGACTCGGGGTCTAAAATCACGTCAAACAACACTGAAATTATAATTCACACCCCGATTCGAACTTTGAGTTTTAAACTTTCAATTTGCAAATCTCGTGCCAAAACATATTAAATGAATCCGGAATGACTTCAAATTTGGAACACAAGTCATAAATGACATAACGGAGCTGTTCAAATTTCCAGAATCGGATTCTGCCTCCTATATCATAAAGTCAACCCCGTGGTCAAACTTGGAATCTTTAGCCTTAAATTGCTAGTTCTGTTAAATGGTCATAATTTGAATTAGGGACCTCCAAATTAAATTTCGGGCATACGCCCAAGTCCCAAATCACGATACAGAGCTACCGGAACTGTCAAAATACTGATCCGGGTCCGTTTGCTAAAAATGTTGACCAAAGTCAACTCAGTTGAGTTTTAAAGCTCTATTTCACATTTTAATCCATTTTTTCACATGAAAACTTTTCGAAAAATTTTACGGATTACGCACGCAAGTCGAGGAATAATAAATGGTGCTTTTCGAGGTCTTAGAATACAAAATTACTTATTAAATTTAAAGATGACAATTTGGGTCATCACATAAGCATATTTTAGAAACTTGACCAAATATATTATTAGAAGAAATCCTTAAACTTTTTATTGGTATTGAGGGAGAACATTATTTTACTCCATAATTTTGACCCTTTCAAAAACATGAGTGGTAGAAGCAATTTTAGAGAAACAGAAAAAAATAGTTTCTCTCCAAAAACACTTTTTGAAAAGTATTTTTGAGAAGAAAAAAACTGTTAGAATTACTTTTTAAAAGATTGGTCAAATATTAATTGTTGCTCAAAAGTGCTTTTCAAATTAATTAGCCAACTCAAATTACTTTTGAAGCGTGACTAAACAGGCTATTAGAAGAGCTCCTTAAACTTTTTTATTGGTATTCGGGGAAAATATTATTTTACTCCATAATTTTTACCCTTTCAAAAACATGAGTGGTAGATGAACA